TCATTGCAAGACTAGTGCATTTATGACCTAGATTGTCAACACAACCTAGGCTGTGCAATGAAGGACATATGTCCAGTCAACAACACCCACAACATCCATTCAATTATACTGCATTTGCATAAGGCAAGAAAGTTCAGAAGGATAAATACACACTTAACACATACAGACATTTTGTTAGAAAGCAGTGTGTAAGATCAGTATCCATCATCATCATATCAGTACTTAATGCATGCTGTAGTATCTTTTGGTCAAATTCGATATCCAGCTTAGGGCAAAGGGTTTTTCAGTTTGGTTCAGAATGCTTTCCCAAAGTTTGTCCAAAACTAGATATGTCAGAAACTGTGGTAAAAACAAGTTTTGAAAGATGCTCAGTGCTAACCAGATCTCTTATGCTCCTTTCTGAAAACAAAAGTGGCTGACATACACAACAAATGCTAGCAAATAAAAGTCAAGGCAAAAGAGTTTTTATGTCTGCATAAAATCTATCCAGCCTCATTTTCCCAGAAAATATGTTAGCAAAGTACAAGGTGGAGGATAAGGTGCAAAAAGTACTCTGAGAAGAATCATATCAGCACATTTTGGGAAATGCTGAACTTGTTCCTGTATTACAGCATGTATCACATTACTCTTCAAAAGGAAATGAAAACTTGTTATTGGTTCTAATAAAGGCAATTTCTCTTCCCCTCAGCAAAGCTTCTGTACATCTTTCAGACAGAAATCTTTCAAGCACAGCTCCCACCTCAATTTTGGTCCCATCTAGCTCAATCCTCTCTACAGAGGCTTCCAGTTTTCTAAGATTCCTAGACTGCTCTTGCACATGCACAATTTTTTTTAAATTTCACTGTACTTTCAAATACAGAAATACTTGCTGTCTTCTACCTTATACACACAGATGCTTGTGCACTAACCCAAACAGTTTGTAATGTTTTGAGTAATGCATCAAAAGAGCAATGGCACCTTAACGATATATTACATTAATACATCATCAAAGCTATGGCACTCTTATGATATATTAGATTAATACATCATAGCGATGCCATGTCTTGGACAATGTATTACTCCAAAACACAGCAACAGCCAGAAAGCTCTCAAAATAAGTTTTGTGTTTTTCGAACTTATTTACATCCTATGAGTCTGGACTATTTTTTTAATTTCTCAGAAATAATGGTGTTCACAAGGGGCAGAAGCCTGCAGCTACTCACTCCTGTCAATATTCCCAAGAAACCATTTCACAGTCTACCACCTAAGACACTCTTGTACACACACAAGAAAGACGCTTTGGTGACTAAATTAGCAAAGCCAGCTTTCCCCTGCTACAAGAATTTATCTAGTACTTCACCTAAATCTGGTGGCATTTACCCAGACCCTTTGTTACAGTTACAGCATGCAGCATGACTGAGATTCTATGTATACAATGCAGTGTTTCAGGAAAAACATAGGTCCTCAGCATAGCTTCAGGAAGAAGTGGTCAGATCACAGTATGGATCACTGTGTTGGAGCATGCAAAGCCGGAGCAGCCAAGGCTGATATGCGCCTGTTCTGACCTGAGCCCTGTGTGTAGTGCTGGGGCAGGGACACTGCCCATCACGGGACTGGAGCCAGTGAGGGCAGTAACACTTATCACCTCTTTCGTAAAACGTCACCCTTTGGTTTCTGTGATAGCAAAGGACTGCATTGCATTCTACTTTTTACACAGACTATGGCCTTCCCTGGATGTTTTTTTGCATTAGTGCCAAAAACATGCCAAGTACAGTCTGACCAGTACTTTTGTGTGTCTACAAAGCAAATCAGGTTATGTGTGCACGCAAGATCTTGGAAGGGATATTTTGCACAAGTTCAAAGACAAAAAGCAGAACACCTCCTGGAAAGTAGCAGAAAAGAACGTACAGAAGTGAAAACAAAGTTCCTGCAGCAAAATAAAGATGAAAAGGAGAAAACAAAATTACCATCTCAAAACCAGAATGACAAGAAAAGAAGAACACAAAGAAAAATCCTCGCACAAATCCAAGGTGAAAGAAACAGGATTTTCCGCCATGCCGACTATGTGGGAAGGCGCAAATAAAAATTACTGAGAACTGCCTGGCTGTTCTTTGGGGCCTCACGAAGAGGTGAAAGTTTAAAAGGTTAATCCAAAATTACTTTTATGGCCACAATGTAAATCTTTCCTCCTATTATTTATTCATAAATTACTCATTAATTTCACTTAAAGCACTTCAAACACAATTACGCAGGTGCTCCAATTCTTGCAGAGAACAATAGCGGCGGTGCAAAGCGCCCAGCTGCGCTCCCTCCCGGCCCGGCTCCGCCCTGGAGGCTCCACACAAGCTACAGCCGAGCCGAGCCCTCCGCCTTCTCACTTACCTGCTTCCTGAGGGCCCGGCTCCTCCCAGGCAGCAGGTACGAAAAGATTTAACTTCAAAGCGTTTCGCTGAAGCTCCCGCGAATGTTCGGGCGCCTTCCCCGCGCCCGCCACGGGCACCTGTCCGACCGCCCGCTGGGGGTGCAGCTGCATGGGGCAGCTCGGCCTCCCCGCGTCCTGCCGCACAGCACGGGCTTGCGCCGCCGGGAGGTGAGGGCACGTGCCGGCACCTCAGCAGCCTTAGGGCCGCCTGCTTTACCTGCAAGAGACGCTGTTTTCCCTCTGTGACACATTACCTCTGTGTTTGAAGTAAAACCATCTTGTTTATTGCACAGGATAAGGTGCATCATTACCAAGCCACATTTAAGCCATTCTCTATTAAAGTACACTTGTTCATATTCCTGTAATTTGCAGGCAAATGCAAGTCTAGATTCTACTTTTATCTCCCTATGTTTCAATACACTAATATTCCTCCATTCCTTTGGTATATAACATTGCACGTTCTCCCATAGCTCTGAATCCTACGGAAGCACAGCATACAAGTAGTTGTGGCATTACTGCAGGAGGATAAACTGCACAGACACAGCTCAACATCAGAAGTCTTGACAGAGATGGAAAAAAATAACAGGTTTAGATAATAATAAAACGTAGCCAAGAATACAGAAAAGAGTTCCAGAGGGATTTGGGGAAATGTACAGAGCACCTTCGGGAGTGCAGAATAGAAAAGGAAAATAATCTATCTTCAGCTCCTACCCTGTTCAGTAGCTTAGCCCTCAGTAAGCAACGTGCATCCAAGGGCAGGGTGACACCCCAGGGCCCTGAGCTTCCACCAGCACCCAAAGAGCAGAGCTGGGGGGAAGGCAGAGAGCAGAGGCCAGCCCCTGTGCTGCCCACATCCACCAGTGAGATGGCAACAGGAGCCTCTCTTGCCTCCCCTTCCTGCCTCCCAGCTCAGAGGATGCTTTTTGCTTGATGAGCCACCTTGACTTGCTGACACAGCAAAAGTATCACCCTCTCCAGTGATGATTTTTGAAAACCTCTAACCAGCTCCTAATCCCAATACCTCTATCAGAATGGATGCTAATAGAAACATCATCAAGACATGAGTGAATGAAATAACAGAATAGGTCGTATGTCTGAAGTACTAATAAATATCATTCTTAAGTAGCAATAGACTTTGTGCAGAGATCTAGAGCCTGAAGCACATTTTGGATAAATTAACTTACTGTAATTCTAAGATACTAATTATAAAATATCAGCACCTAAACCATTGCTGTACTGTCTTTATGAAATCCAGGTACTAAGAGAAGAGTTTAAGGGAGAAAATGGAAATTATCATTTCACTTGAACTATAATTCAAAAAAAAAAAAAAAAAAAAAGAATAGTCACAAAACTGCACAGTATACAGGATCCCTAAGTTTGATAGATGAACAGAAAAATGCCATGAAGTTTTTAGCCTATAAACCTAAATGTCAATCCAAACGCAGAAATCAGTTCTGCACAGCAAGAGTGAGAGCAGAAATAAGATCAGGAGAAGATGCAATGTAAGGATCCTGAAGAGCCCCCCAGCCAGTGCTGGGTTCATACTTCACTCTTAGGGCAGATCACTCTGGGATGTAGTTGGGATGTAGTTGCTGTACTGAAGCAACACATAAAGTAAATGGAGAATTTGTTTTCCTGTTTTTCACCTATACGTCAACAGCGATGATCATAATAGAGAGGAACACACAGGAAACTGTGTGCCATTCCAAAAAGAGCACGATTCTTACTGGTGACACTCTGGGACGTTCCCATACATTAAGGAGTATTCAGATGTCTTTGGTGTCAACAGTAAACAATGAACTAGCTAAGGGACTTCAGTGGAGCTATAGAGAATGTTTTCCAGAGGGTTTTAAATCTAAAACATCCTTTGGTAATTACTAAACCCAGGTTCCAATGGCTCACAATGCTCCCTCCCTCTGAGTACAGCCACACAGAGCTCTGGAGTTCAGCACAGAGAGCAAAACCAAACAGCGCACTTGTCAGCACTGGGAAGAGCGTACAAAGCACAGGAGGAAAGAATAACACACCTTCTGTTTCTGAAAAGGAAAACGAGGGCAGACAGGCACAGACACCTCAAACATCCTATTTCTGTCAGGTCCCCAGGACTTGCACCCACACAACACTGCTGGAAGTTGGGGCTGTAAAGCACCCCACGTGGAGCAGTGCTTGCCCTCAAGGCAGCCCCTCCTCAAGGGGAACAGTCACTGTATCTGTAGCAACACCCTGCTCCTCCGTAGCCTGCAACCTTGGGGAACAAAGGAAAGCCATGAAAAGGCATTGCTACTGCTCAGATCAACCTTCAGCTGCCCATGGCCACAGGAACAGCAGCAGCGCTGTGCAGCAGTGAGGCTTCGCCAAGGACTGACATGGAACAGGGGATGGGGGAGAACCCTCAAGCCCTTGGAAGAGCTACTGGGACTTTCTGCAGAGATATTTTCTGCATTGTAACTGATGAACCACTCTACCTTTCGCCTGACCAGTCTCTGAAAGCTGCCTAACCCCTGCTGTAACCAGCCCAAGGAACCTGTTAGAGAGCTGTATTGTGGATTTGTTACACCATGCTTAAATACCATAGCATTGCTTGAGCCTCACCATTCATTACATGTTAGTAAATATTCAGGGGAAAATGGGCAAAAAACGAAGCAGCCTACTCACATGTAAATCTGAGGTTTCCTATTCTGGAAATTATTCTGGAGCATTTTCCTGAGATGCTTTCTGGAGGAATAGAGGGACTAAAACAGTTGTTATGTGCAAGCCATCTGTAAAAATTAGACACACAAGGAAAATCAGAACACAAACAAGGAGAGGCGTGCAGTATTAGAAATATTATCTGAAATCCAAGGTTCAAAGTGATTAGACAAAAAAAAATATTAATCCTCCATATAATTCAACTTGTACTTAAATTCCTCTGGTATCAGCTCTGCCCACCAAGTCTTGTTCAGATCACTACAGGAATTTATTGCAAATTTTGCAGGGCTTTTGACCTGTATCATCTTATTAAACTTTTATGAAAAATCAATGGAGTTCAATCATGTTATGAGCTGTTCTTCACACACCTGTCAGTGGCAAATGAAGAAATCTCTTTTTCCCAATGTCTAGAGTGAAGACATTAAATTGGATACAAGTCTCTGACCATACATCCGTGGTGCGGATGAGCTTGGAATAAACATTGAAGAAAATAAAATAAATGCAACTTTGGTGAAAACGAGGTGAACAACTAATGGTTTTTGAAGATGGGAGGATAACAACTGACATGCATGTAAAATTAAATAATTTTATCAAATAAATGTTTAAAATAGATGACCTAAGATTCTTTGTTTTGATTCAAGAAGAAGTAGGCAACTTCATCACACAACCACATTACTAGAATCACACCAGGAGAAAAACATACTTTCCCCTTTTCTTTTTTAGTAAGTCCATGTTTAACAGCACAAGCAGGACTTCAGGGCATATTTGGGCAATAAAGAGTTGTTAGTGCTCCTGTCTGAGACTCTGCACAATAAAGCAGTCTTCCTCTAGCACACACTGTGGCTTTGCTTGGGAGCAGCAGTGCAGGACAGTTCAGACAACTCAGGGTAGGATAAGAGGGTAAGATGGACCTCACCTACCGAGGGGATTGACAGCACATCCAGACAGCCCAACGTCACCTGTGCCTGCCTGATGAGTCCCATCAATGCCAAAACTGTGCTGCAAAAATGAATAAATAAACCAACTGCCTTCCTGAATAAACTATCACACCTTGAGTATGGAGTCTGGGCTGCTTGGCCACTGTTTGCCAGTTTACTGCTTTTTTACCCATTTTATGGGCACAGAGACATTGCTAGTAGTATAACACTGTCTTTTAATGGCAGACACTGAAACAACCAGAAGCCATATTCTGTAGAAACTCTCCTGGGTAAGCATCAATAAGCTCCCGTATTTTGAACAAGCACTGCAGAACCAATTAAGCTTCAACAGAGAAGATAGTGTCTCTTGTTTGTTCTATTTCTTTATTTTCCTTACCTATTGTTTTGTTTTTAATTTCCGTGAGTAAGCTGTATTGGTATCCTGCTGGCTTCCTGCTAGCCACAGGAGAAGGAAGGGGAATTTTTGCAATAATTTAAAAATACACTGAAAGTATGGAAAGGTTAAGAATTCAGATATAAAATGAAACTAAACAAAGGCAAAGCAAATTGACAAAGTTAGCCCCTAATCTAATCACCAAAATAATGAAAATTCTACAAAAAGCCTAGAAAAACTGGGTATGGATTAAAAAATATGGCCATGTCATTTTATTTTTTTAATAAAGCAAAATCTGTGGCAGTCTCCAACAAGCCATCCCAAGGTGCAGAACAGTAAGACCAATACTGAAGCTGTTTGAGGGTGTTCAGAGGGCCACAAGGTGCTCAGAGGGCTGCAGCATGAAGGAAGTCTGAAGGAGCTGGGCTTCTTTAGCCTGGAAAAGAGAAGCTTCTGGGGAGACCTCACTGCAGCCTTCCAGCACTCGAAGGGAGCTTACAAGAAGGAGGGAAATTGACTTTTTTTTTTTTTAACACAGGCTGATAGCGATAGAACAAAAGGAAAATGGTTTTAAACTGTAAGAAGGGAGACTTAGATTATCTACCAGGAGGAAGTTTTTTTTCCTCAGAGGCTGGTAAGGTACTGGAAGAGGTTGCCCAGAGAAGCTGTGGATGCCCCACCTCTGGAGGTGAGTTGGACGGGATCCTGGGTAGCCTGATCTAAAGGACGGCAACCCTGCCCGTGGCAGAGGAGTTGGAACTAAATAATCTTTAAGGTCCCTTCCAAACCAAGGCATTCTAATATTCTGTGATGCTGATTCTAATCACATTTCTCAACTACAGTACAATGAAAATGGAAAAGTAATCTTTTGAAATTAATTGCAACTTTTTTTTTTTTTTTTCTTAAACATCTGGCCAAATCCACAAGCTTCTTGCTTTTATGCCAGCCAGCTTTTTTTCCAGCAAAAAGGCAGTTGATATGTTTCTTGTACACAAACTGTGTTTTGCTATAAATGATATTAAAAAAAAAATTAGAAGTGACAATCATAAGATGAAAACAAATCACATTTTGAAATTTTTAAAGTTCCAAAATATTTCACACCATTTCACCTCCAAAATAAAGGAAGAAATTAGGGTTAGATTTGTATTAGTTACATTAAAGAAAACATCTGGAAAGTCTATTTACATGTATTATTCATTTAATTACAGCCTGAGACATTTCATGCTGCAAGCACAGCTTGGCAGAGACATGTAGGTTTACCCAAGTAGTGAACCAGGGCCAGTAGGCCAACTATGACTAGCAACAGCCTGAACCTAGGGTGCTTTACACAAAGCAATGCTTTTTGCTGTATTAATCTGCTGTCTTGTATTTTTTTGCTTAAAACTTCAGCGCCTTAAAACTCAAGACATGAAGAAATGTAAGAAACTGAAGACACATTGGAATATAATGCAAAAAGGAACTGGTATCAGAGCTTTAACAAATGTTGAGTTCATTTTGTTGTTGCATCCTCTAAAGGGAATGCTGTTTTGCTGTCTTCAGCTTTGATTACTGTGGGGAAAAGCCCTAAATGGGATATGCTTTTGGCCTGATAGTCAAAACATGTGTGTTGATGCCTCTCACAATGTGAACACAGTCATCAAGGGAATTGCTTAGCCATTGTAATGTTAACTTGGGTACTGCAAAGTTGTTTTGTGATGTTGTGTTTACTGAAAAGACAATTGAGAAAAAAAGGTTTAAAATATTTTTTTTTGCTATTTCCATCAACTACTTCTATAATGCAAGAAGCAAACAATAAATGATAAAAATAGAAAATTATAGTCAAACAATACTCACTTTGCTCAAGATATAAATACTCTCATCAGCCATTATTTAGCAAAATTTATCAAGACAACGGGGAATGTCTGGAAAGAGGCTGTAGGCACCCTTTCGACCTAAAATAACATAGGAAATAAACTTGACTGCATTTAGTCATTAGTTTAACATCTATTAAAACCAAATTTCCAAACCCCAGCTCTACACTATCATTACATATAATCATCCCTCAGGAGAAAAAGAATTCATTCAGTTGTGTATATGAATGATATTTTCTGTAATGTCTTTTCCAAAACTGACTAGTGGCCTGGGGTGGTTTGTTTGCAGGTTGTTTTTTATTTTTGGCAGGGGAAGGGAAAGAGTTGAAAAGTGGGCAAAAGTTCAGAACATCAGTGTCAGGTGTGAAATTTGGATACATAAGTTTAAGGGATGAGTGTCTAAGCCTACCTGGGGGCTACGCCTGAAATCACCGGGGCTTAAGTCTCGAATAGTCCTAAACCATAAGTAGCACGGTCACTGCTGCATAACATGGTCTGTAAAATAACATGGTCTGTAACAATGAGATTTTTCTAACTCACGGTGGAAGTGCTAAATTAAAATCCATTAATCCTTGGCAAGCATTTAGGTACTATAGCAATATAAAACACATCCATAAGCAAAGATCGCTCTACTGAGTTTAATGATATTATTCCCAAACTATGAATGAGTGATCAAATGAAGAACTTCTGTTTTCATTAGGAGTGCTTAGATATTTTTGCTAGAATCTCTGTAAGTACCTCACAAGATATATTCTTTGACAGAGTCAATGACAAGAGGGTCATTAACTTTAAAGCTAGGCCAATTGACCCCTGAAATAATGCTGAATCCTGAGTATGATGAAAATATTACTTCTAATTCTGTTCCATTTGCAGAAAACTTCAGAACAATCTCTTTTTCTTCCCAATTATGCAGGCTCAACATACTGACTTTTTATTATAAATTGACTCTGCTCATGCCATACATCAGTTATTTTAAGGGATAAGCTACTGTTAGATTAATAAAATTTCTTCCCATTTCAGTTTTGTGCTGTTACAAATCAGTGCAGCTTGTAACACAGATCAGACTTCAAATTACAGTAAAGCAACAGAAAGGTGGATGTACAGAGGAATATACAGTTCCTTGGCAGTAATTTCATCATATAACAGTGACTTTTTTTGAAATTAAAACTCGATTAGCCATCTTCTTTCACAGACACTACTCACCTTTAGCTTTTAAGCCAGGCATGTAGGTAATCAACAGAAACTTCTTGCTACCTGTAAGAAAACCAATTAAATTTAGAAAAAACTTCAGTTTTTAAAAGAAAGGAATAAAATAGATAAAGCAGAACTCCAAAATAGGGCTCTGATAGGGCTAACCTGGCTATAATGTGAATTACTCATTGTAATCTGATTTAGGGGGAAAGGACAAAGCACAGCAAATTTTGTCAGGTATGTTTTGGTTTTAGTTCACATGGACAAGCAGAAAAAAAAGAAAAAAAAAAGGATGAATTAGAAACTAGACTGGTGAGTAACAAAAACAATATGTGAGGAATTTCATAATTGTACCAAGCAATCCTTCTGCTAAAAATATTGAATTAACCTTATGACAGATAGAAAAACATAAATTTTTAATATCCAAAAGGTTATTTTTAAATTACTAGACCAGGTTTTAATTACTGATAACCTCAGGTCAGATATACAATAGGCCAGGCCTCTGTGAAGCAGTAAACTTGGCATCAGTTCTCTACATTCAGGCAGAGTCTGATCAGATTTTGTTTTGCAACAGTCACTTAATTAGTAGTATCAGTAACCCTTACTACCTTAACATTATCTTCCTTTAGCCAATGATATCATTTTGCATGTGTTAAGTAAAACAGGAATTAACAAAATTCCAATGGCTTACTTAAATGGTAAATAACAAGCTGTTTTAAGGAAGAAATCTCCTAGGGAGTGCGGAAAAACCTGCAGCTGAAGGCAAGCGTGTCAGGATGTGTAACTCTGTGCAGGCATAAACAGGAAACGGAGCAGCTTGCATTTGGATTGACAATCTGGCTCCAAACGTCTCATCTACAGCGGGCACAATGCTTGAACCCTGTCAAACTTGAAAACTCTGGGTTTGTAACAGTTCTCTGCGCTGACACCTCTCAGGGCTCCCTCATATAAGTACAATCTTCTCCTCTTTATCATTCTTCACTATCAGGAAAGGTTTTGCTTAGTGAAACACTTAAAATTAATAACATCACTTCTGTGCCAAAACATTTTCTCGTACATCCACTTCCTATGGTTTTGGTAGTAAAAACCTTGGACCAGAAACATCAAAGATTAATCATTTTTAAATTGTGAATTATATTAATTTATTTTATTGTCACATTCTAACACAGCAGATGAACTTGCTGTACCTTCTGAAAAAAAATTGTCAAACGTCTAACAGAGCCAATAGTGTTCAACTCTACTTCTTCATATTTTTCTGATGCATTGACCCCATAGTAATTAAATATTTTGCAAGTATGCCGTGCAAAAGCTTAATGAGATGCTTCTAGAGTACATGTCCTGCAAGCTAAGTTCAACATAACCAAAGCAGTCTGTGTACTTTCTAGGTTCAAAGATTAATGGGATGTGAAAGGAGAGAAATAGTATGGACAAGGTGGATCATAGGCCCTTTGTGACAGATGTATCAGACCCTCTCCATTACAATCCCCAAAAAAGATTCTTCTGGGAGCCATTTCATCTCTGAAAATGTTGTGGGCATTGCAGAGCCCAAAGGAAACAACTAGCAGTAACTTTCTTCCTAAGGATGTTTGCCAAGCCAAGGATGTGGTCCCTGTAGAACAGATACAGCGCTGAGAGAATTTAGCCATTTAAAAACAACAACAATAAAATAGCAAGAGCACTAAAATCCTGGAAGGTTTTTTTTTTCTTCTGCATCATTTTAGGAAGAAAAAAAAGCCCACAAAAAACAAAGTTTTCAAATCAAGAGCTTACAGTTAAATATTTTACTAAAGCTAAAAATTAAATGGAAGACTTGACAAAGTCATTCGTATCATTGCCAGCTTATTCAGATGCTTCAATTTGAATCTAGGAAACTCACATGCAAAGTTTGTAAAAACAGGAATTGGGCTTGTATTCAACAGCATGATCATTGTCTAGAACAAACCAGGCAAAAATACACTACTTGCATTTGTATCATCACATTCACATCTAATAGCAAAATCAAATATTAACATTTCTATTTCATATTCTGGTCACATATTGTTGTCCTAACAGAAAATGGCTCTGTAAAAAACTACATTTTCATTTGTACGGTACCCCCATTTTGTACATTAAGGACACCAAGATGGAGGCATTTCAACTGTTCATTCATCCATTTGTAAAGAAGCAATTAAAATCACGCTTACAAAGTCACGAATCACTTCACAGTTCTCAATACTGAGATAGAAGTATCTCAATATCCAAACTCTTGTAATCAACACTGTAATTAACAGGCTTAGAAACCAACAGAACTACTATTTGCAAACAAGCAAAAAAGATTTTTCAGCATAAAGTGATGTACTTAAATTATAACATTACAATTTTAAAAAATATTAATAGTTTATTAAAGGAAACTCTTGAATTCAGAATGGTAATTTCTCTAAGCATTTTGTTAATGCAGTAATTTTGAAAATCAACAGTACTACTTCAAAACTCTTCTGTATTTTTAAACATTTTACAAATATCCTTAACATACTCAGCATAAACCCTTTTGAGAGCAGTGCTGTTTAGATGCTGCAGAGCTCTATTTACTCAAAACCTATGAAATGTGACAGGATTTCTCTCTCAGAAGATATATGCATGGTTCTGTCTGTTTTGTGCAAGTTGTTGTGAAACGAGAAGCTGAATGATGTAAGCTGGAGTAAATACAAATGGTAATAAGAAATAATAGTGAAATCCCTAAATTAAATTCTTGTCCTTAAAAATGTTTTTCAAGCACCTTTTTTTGTAAAATTTTATTATTTGTAGCATGGTGACTGGCATCAACTGCTAGGTGTACAGGGCACAGGAGAACAATCCTCGCCTGAAAAAGCTGAGGGTCCAGTTCTATCTTTTCTAAGACCTGAAAAATTTGATGCTTGTAGGGAGGAAGAAGAGCTGGTTAGGCTTCATTTTAAAACAAATGGAATAAATAGTTCATTTGTATTTTGTAAGCTAGTATTCTGCAAATGCACAATAGCTTTGAAGTGGTCTTTCGCTCATTTGAAGAAAACCATTACCTCTCTCAACTGGTTAAATCATCTCAATTTATCATTGTTTTTGAAGAGCTTTAAGCACCTTTGATCATCCTTTCACGAGCGGCACGCAATTAACAAGAAACTATGCTTGCAAAACACAGTAACGTTTTGGAAAGTTTTCCTCATTCTCAGTCTTCCTAGGAATTTCACATCAGCTTCATGAAAAGCAATAAGCAAGGGAAGCTTGTGCCCCACCAATTAATTTATTTCAGCGGACCTGGACTTTCAGTAATGCAGATACCAGGAACAAGGGTCGGGGGAAGGAGATGCAAGGCATCCATTTGTCATTACACACCTCTCCCACAGACAGGACAGCGGCAGACATCTTAGTGTGTGAGAGAGGAAAGGCGTGCCCCCAGCAGCGGGGCACACACAGCGGTGGCACACAGCTGCGGCAGCGAGGGATGAGTGCCTGGCGGGAGCCGGTGCCGCGCTGTGTGCTGTGTGTGCTGGCTGGAGGAGGTGCTGGAAGAAGCCTACGCTAGGGGAAAAGCAAGGGGAAATTAGATGGGACAATCAATTACAATATTTGAAAGCGTCTGATTAGCATACAATGACCAACTTCCTATCTAAAAAACAAAAAGGTTCAGCGGCGTGTACTTGAGGCATATTCAGAATGTTATTTTAACACATAAGCAACAATAGTTTAGAAATCCCTGATATGAGCTGAGGATGGAGCTAAGCACCCCAGTAGTGACACAATATAAACTTCAGCACATGAAATACTGGAAGTTGATGTAAACAGCTTTTAATAGCAGCGAACATTTGCTCACTTTGTTTAGACCATCTGGATGTTCCATTGTGTTCGGTTCTACACCGACTGCCATCGGGTGACAGTTGATATATGTTAAGTACAAGCAAAGTGCCTCAGCCCACTCCAGGGACCCCGAGGAGAACTTCTCAGTATTTTGTGGAATACACTGTCAGATCACAGTGCGGTTGCCTGCATCCTTAATGGCTCGGGGCCAAAGTCCTCTGGCTTTTTTATCAAAGGAGAGTTCTGCCTTTACTGTTTGAAAGGTTAGGAAAACTATGCCAAAGTTCTTCCAGGCAGCTTGCAGAGCATCAGCTGACAGGAACGATTTTCAATATGGAGCAAAGAATAAAGAGAACCACTAGTCCTAAGAGATTCCAGGTCCCACTCATTTTACATGCAATGTGGCTAACGGCCTTTTATGTGCAACAAAAGAAAAAGTTACTAATAAACATGATGATGTAATTGTTCTGGAAAAAAGTTAGGAAATCAGCAGCTAGGAGCAGGCACGTTTTTCCATGCCTGTCAAGCACAGAACACAGGAATGACAGCAATCTGAATGCTTATTATTTGGGTGCATTCATGCAGGAGAAAAACACTTTAAGTTTTAGGGTACAAAACTGAAATAGTTTAGGCTCAGCCTTTCTAAGGACACTGACTACTTATAGCAATCTTTTTTTTCCTACCAGCAGCATAATTATTCAATAAATCAATGATACATCTGGAATGCCGGTGAAAATCTTAACTGTACTCATTATATTCATAAAATCTCATATTAAAAGGAACAAAACTACTGAAAAACACAAAAGAAACCCACCCCAGTTGCCTATAACACATGACATTCTCTTCTTTCTCTTTGTCATACCTGTTAGATTACTTGATCTTTTCCGTTATTGGCTTTTTCCGGCAAATTTTAACTCTTTTGAGTCTTATAAGGGATTGCAAGGAACTATTTACCCATCCAAACAGCAGCACATAAGCAACAGCAGTCCAAGGTTTCTCACAATATACCACAGCCCTGACAGGGGCTGGGAATGCGTATTAGTTTCCATTTCACTTCACTTAACAACCTCTCACAAAGGCTATTCCAAGGAGTACCAGGTGACAGCAGCTGTTTCAGAGGTGCCCACACCAAACCATCCTTTGAGAATCAATCTCATTCCACGCACTTTGGAACAACCCAGCAACTGTTATGCAGGTGGTGGTTTTGGTCACTTCTCTCTCCTTCATTTTTTCAACCTGAACTGAAATTGAAATA